ACATTAAGATATACATCAACCTGCCATGCAGATTAGGAGAGTATTGCATCTTCATGGAGTGGTATTGTGAATAGTAGGGATACTCTCCTCTCAGTTGACCAACAACTTGTCTTCCACATCTAATTCACGGGATCTCCGATCACAAAGAATAGGTTACCACTATGAACAACTCATATTGTGGGTCTCATACCCATCTCCCTTGATGCATTATCTATCACATTACGTGATAGACCCTTAGTAAAAGGATCTGCCAGATTTTTAGACGTTTGGACATAATCCAATGCAATAACTCTGGAGTTTTTCATTTTCCTGACAGACTATAACCTTCTCTGAACGTGTCTTGATGACTTCATGTTATCCTTTGAGCTGCTCACTTTCGTGATCACAGTTTGATTGTCGCAGTTCATAAGGACACCCGTACAGGTTTCTCAACAACCGGCAAGTCATTCAAGAGTCGGCGAAGCCAATCTGCTTCGACCGTAGCTGTATCTAGTGCTGTGAGTTCTGCTTCCATAGTTGACCTCGTTAAGATGGTCTACTTGCAAGACTTCCAAGAAACAGCGCCGCCTCCATGAGTGAATACATAACCGCTTGTGGCCTTTATCTCATCAGCATCTGAGATCCAGTTTGAGTCACTACACCCTTCAAGCACCTTTGGATGACCAGTGTAGTGAATTCCATAATTCGCAGTGCCTTTCAAATAACGCAAAACTCTCTCTAGAGCTTTCCAATGCACATCTCCTGGTTTTGAAAGAGGGGACATAATGCACGTTCTTCAGTCGCACGATCTTCCCCGAAGTAAACTTCAGATCGACCGTGCCAACACCACGAACAGCAGCACTTGAACCGTTACCCATCAGCACGGTTGAAGTCCCTGCGGTCTGATAAGACGAAAACATGGAAAAATCACCGCATACATGCACATTAGCACCCGTGTCAATCAACCAGTAAGGAGAATAACATACTGAAAGAATAGTGGCAAATATACCATACCCAGCATCCTTCATGTCAGTGTCTCCAATGACAACATTAGCGGTCTTGCCGCCTTTCCCAGGATGACGCTTGTCATAGCGAGTGGGGCAACTAAGAGCTCAATGATCAGGATCTCCACACACATGACAAGCACCTTTCTTCTTGCCATTCTTCTTCTTGAAGTTCGTGTATTGCACAGCCTTGTTCTTCCCATCAAACTTTGCTTTACCATCAAACTTGCCCTTGTTCTTGAACTTGTGGGGCTGGAAGTTCTGCTTCTGTACCACATTGGCACTAGATCCTCCCTCAATACCTCGAGCACGTGTGTCCTTTGCTCTCGCCTTTTCTTCCACATCAAGAGTACCAATGAGATCCGGAACGGAAAACTCCTGTCTCTTATGTTTCAGTAAGGTAGCAAAGTTCCTCCATGAAGGAGGAAGCTTAGTGATGATACCGCCGGCAACAAACTTGTCCGGTAGCATGCAATTGAAGTGCTCAAGTTCTCTAGCAAATGACTGTATCTCATGAGCCTGCTCAACCACAGAGCGCTCTTCAGTCATCCTGTAATCATAGAATTGCTCCATGATGTACAGCTCAGTGCCGGCATCCGAGACCCCAAACATGGCCTCGAGTGCGTCCCACATATCTTTTCCATTATCAATTGACGCATAAGCATCAACTATGTTCTCTCCAAGAACACTCAAGAGCGCAGCCTTAAACAAGGTATCCATTTTCTGAAAAGCTTGTGCATGTTGGGCATCTTGCTCTCCTTCAGGTTTGCCAAGAGTGGAGTCATAGCAACTCATGGTTTGAAACCATAAGACTGCTCTCACGCGCCACCTCTTATAGTGGATACCCTCAAACATAGGTGGTCTCATGGAAGCAGCAAAACCACTTGGGGTAAATTGCCTATAATAAGGTTTTTGGATTGTTGGAAATATGAGCAATTTACCGAATGATTTTATTAACAGAAATAGTAGATAAAACATGACTAAAATAGAAAATATAAAGCAAGTCATGCAATCTGACAGAGAGAAGGTAAACATCGTCTGCATATATGAACTTGAGGTAAACACATCTAGAACAGTCACTAGATGAAGTTGCTTATACGACATAGAACCTAACATACGTAGGACAGAAACTAGAGCCAAGAACTGTAGCAGGACTTCTAACAGAAAGGAGAAGAACATGTACGGCACAGCAGCAGTAGAAGCGCTGGACTTGGGGTCGGTGTCCTCGCCTGCCATGTCGTCGAGGAGGTCATGGACGTCGGGGAAGAAGTCGTCATCGGGGAAGTAGTCGTCGGCGACCGGATCGTCCGTGATGAATCAGCCAGTAGTCGCGCAGAGCGCTCCCCAAAAACCTTATCACCCTTCTCCCGTACAGGACTCAAAGAGTGCGGTTTCGGAGGCCTACTGTCCCGACCTGCGGTGCACGCCGCAAGCCGGGATGGAGAAGATCGTAGCAGCAGCGCAGTGCTCAGGAACCGGTGGCGAGAGGAAGAAGTAGTTCTGGTGCGTCTTGCTGAGAGGAGCGACCTCCCTTTTATAGGCGCAAGAGAAGGAGGCGAGAGGGCAGCGCCGAGAGCTGAAGGGACCGAGGGAGATGAAACAAACAGACAGTAGCCGAAGGGTGCAGCGTTCGCTTTTAATCTCCACTACAGCGAAACTTTCCATCTCCCGAGTGACCTTTCGTATACCCGTAGTGCGTGGCAAAAATTTAGACATCGGCTCATTCCCGCAACCCGCGGCGCGTCGTGACCAGGCGTGGCGTGGCGAGGCGGGCGGCGGAGTAGGAGCGCGCGTGGATGTCCCTCTTGTTCTCATGCTCATACAAGTGGGGAAAGAACCCCCCTTATAAGGAGGTCCAACTCCCACTAAACTAGCAATGTGGGACTAAACTTTTAGTAGTATCCCTTGCCTTGCACAAATGGGCTAAGTGGGCCTCTAGGATTTATTAGGAATTTCTGAAATAGTTATTGGGTTGCCCAAAATAGACTAAATTGCAGCATAATCAACTGCCTATAAGTATGAAATATAGTGGTTGTAAACACAAAGATCCAACAAACAAACGTATTGAATTAGTAAAGCCACTTGTTACCTGGAAAAATACAAGTCCATTGGTTTTTCTTCCGGATAAATAGAAGAGGTAGGAAACTTGACAAGAACACATACCTTGATTTTTAAAAATCAAGGTTTTACCTACCTCTTGAATTGCTGCAAATTTCAATCCCTGAGCCACCTAACACAGTGTGTAAAGTCCAGCCCGTGTGCACATATAAAAATACCAAACTTGAACGGCACTTCAGCTTCCAAATGGAAAACTAGGCAAATTAACTAAGCTTGGATTAACAGAACTACTGTTCTTCTCTAGCCGGGTAAATGCTGGATGCAGTTATTGATAATTTTAGTGTAGAGATCGGCTCTGTTGCAAATGGATGACGAGAACCATGAACTGTAAGCAACAGATAAATGAAGGTTTCAACGCATTGGGATCTAAAAAGAATGGTAACACCAAATCCATGATTACTGTAAGAGCACAGAGCACACCAGTGGGTTCACCAGAAAAGGCAGCCAGAACTATACTCACACGGTACTCCAGGCAAATGGCACAACTAACTTTGAATAACAGCACTGTACCTTTTCTTAATCCCCATGAGATTAGCCATGATTAAGGTCAATGGTCTTGCATTTGTTTACTGTGTTTATATGTTGATTTCCCAAAGAATTCCATGCAAGAAGTCCACTACTGAACGTGCATGCCTGTGGAAGAGGGGAACCTTGGATCTGGGGAGATTTATCTACGTACTTATGGTCTAGTCATGGTCCAAGCTTTGCAGTTCTAGCCCAGCTTTTGATGATAGATCTGGCTAGCTAGCGAGACATCATTAGTTTATTTAAAAAAAGTGATTTCCATTAAAAAAAGAATTTTTGGGAATAAATTCTTTTTCTGACAATTCTTAGTCTAATTCATTTTTCTCTGACATAATTACATATATAACTACTTAATAACAAGTACAACGTCGAATTAAGGCTCTGTTTGGTTCATAAGTCTTAGGACTTTTTTTAGTCCCAACTTTTAAATCCCAAGTCCCTAAAAAGTCCTTACCTGTTTGGTTCCTGGGACTTGTAAGTCCCTATAAGACCATATTACAACTATAAGTCCCTATAAGTCCCTCCTTGAGAGTCTTATTTCATAAGTCTCAAATGCCCACTTTAAGTTCCTATAAGTCCCTCCTGTTTGGTTTAGATGGGACTTATAGGGACTTTTTTAAGTCCCTAAGCCAATAAGTCCTTGGAAACAAACAGCCTCTAAGTGAACTTCTTTCTGTCAAGAAATTCTAACTTGTGTAGAAGACACATGGGCCCACCTGTCCCTCCCTCCCCCTCACCAAATCTCATTACATGGATCAAAGACATATTGTATGAGTATGAGCGATTATGACTGAACTTCCTCTAACGAACGGCCCTACAGGACTGAAATTTGGTCTGAAAGTGATTCCTTGCTTGACGAAAGAGTCTCCCGCTCTATAATACTGGGCCCAGGCGACGCCGACGCCGAGGACGAGGACTTGCGGGAAGCTTCATCAACGCCAGAGGGGGCCAGACAGCAGCAGCATGTGGCGCACGTTGAAGCCTATTGAACACACGTAAATCTCAGTCTCCTCCGCCGATATATGGATTTTTCTGTCTCTCTGCGAGTCTTCACCAAAGAGTGCGGCTGTGTTTGACATTTCTGGCGCTACCTGCCTGATCAGCGTTGGCAAGCACCGGCGTACGGCGTTTGTTTATGCCAAAATAAATCCAGTCCAAACAGGAGAGGGGTGGAAGAGAAGAGAAGGTCGAGGCCATGGTCTAGGCGCCTAGCTAGCTGCCTATATATACAAGGCCATGGCCATGGCAAGGCTGGTGCTGGGCTAGACAAGAAAGAGCTGGAACTGGAAGGCTAGAGAAACTAGAAAGAGGAGGGACGTTTGCCTTGCTCCCAAGGAGACAGAGATAGCTTGTCTTCTGTCAAAGGAGATCGAGATGATCAGGGAAGACCAGAGGCAGCTTCACGGCCATGAAGTGCGGCTGAAAGATCAGGTTTAGAACTGTTTAATTACTTCTCTTGATTTTGTGCTTTGCATATTTCTTCATGCTTCAAAGAGTCTGATTCTTTTTCTTGAACAAGTATGGATAATACTAATGGTTAGGACTAGAGACTTGGTTGAGTTTCTCTCTTGTCCGGCATGTGGTTCTTGAATCTTGATCCATGCATGTGTGGAAGATAGGACTTGGCTGAGTTTCTCTCTTCTCTGGGTTCTGTTTCTTGATCAATGAATGGAAGTCGGGGACTTCTCTTTCTCATGTCAAAATCAATCAGGTGCTCATCTTTAGGGACCACGCAGATCCTGGTGCTCGTAGAACAGTCAAATTAAACATGTGGATAAGCCAAGAAATGGATTTTTCCATAGCTTGTCATCCAATAAATTCATGCTGTTATTAACTGTTTGCTCATCTTATACTAATTAATATCAACTTTCATGTTGGAGATGCAGATGAGAGATGATCATCGAGCCTCGGAAGGCAATCTTTTCAAGTTCTTGCAAAACCAGTCAAGCACAAAAAAAGAGGTACATAATTATTCTTCAAACTAAAACTACTAATAAGTAACCTTTAAATTTCTTAATTACCCTGAAATTCCCCACAAATTCAAGAAAAAAGAACCTGCATCTATTACCTGTATATATTTCAATACAATTTTGTTCATCTTCCTATGTAGTACAAAGCTAGTTAGTCTCAGTTGTCAAATACTCCCTCCGTTCCAAAATATATTGCTTCCTCTATTCCCGTACTTCAACTTTGACCATAAATTTAACAACGAGAACAACTACGGCGGGAGCAAAAGTTACACCAGTGAATTCGTATTAAAAGAAGTTTTCAAATATACTCCCTTCATTCCAAAATATAGTGCGCCTGCTCTTCCCGAGGTCTAACTTTGACCATAAATTTAACCAACGAGACCGACTACGGCGGGAGAAAAAATTATATAATTGAAAACCTCTTTTGAATACGAATTCACTGGTACAATTTTTGCTCCCGCCGCAGTCGGTCTCGTTGGTTAAATTTATGGTGAAAGCTGAAGCACAGGAATAGAGTAAGCACTACTTTTTGGAACGGAGTTCTCCCGCTGCAGTCGGTCCCGTTGGTTAAATTTATGGTCAAATTTGGACCTCTGGAAGCATGGGCGCATTATATTTTGGAATGGAGGGAGTAGTACCTACACACCAAGCCAAGTGGCCAACTGGGCATTATCATATGTGATTTGCTTCACCAATGAGTGTATAACTAATAAAGGGTCTCGCGGTTGTGATGCTTTCATCAATTCAGGCCCAAGAAGACAAGATCGCCTCTACAAGGGCAGAGATGGGCGAAGTGAAAAAAGAGAACGAGAGGCTGAAGACGATGCTATCACGGATGGTGGAGAACCATCGATCGCTTCAGAAGCAGTTCGATGTTCTCCACCAGCAAGGGCGAGGCAAGAACCTCGTTGTGGGCTCACCGGCCCACACATCGCTCTCCAACGACGTCAAGGAGCCCGGGTTCTTCTCTTTGCACCTCGGAACAAGCGCCAGCACGAGTAGGCCGAACATGGGAGAAAAGATCAATAGCGGAGCTAATTATCCAGAAGGAAGAGACATGTGTCTTGAACTATCATCAGGCTGCAAAGCTGTTGGTGTAGCCGGTCAAAGTGAGACAAAGGTGCGTCGGGATGTGCTGACGTTGAGCCCTGGAGGCAGCTCCGAGGAGCAGGCCGTGGAGACGACGACAACATCAGCAGCAGCGAGCAAAATGGTGAAGAACCCTAGGAGCACCGGCAACGGTGTGGAGATGGAGGAGGAAGTGGCCCAGCAGCCACTGGCCAAGAAGGCCAGGGTGTCGGTGAGGGCTATGTGTGACACGCCAACGGTACGTACATATATACTCCCTCCGGTCATTTTTAGTCTGCATATAAGTTTTGACCGATGTCACAGCATCTCTACTTTGACCAAACTTACAGAAAAAATATCAACATTCACAATACCAAATCAATATTGTTAGATTCATTATGAAATGTAGTTTCATAGTAGGTATATCCGATATTGTAGATATTGACACTTTTTAATATATATTTGGTCAAACTTTACAAAGTTTGACTTGACTCAAATCTAATACGCGGAGTAAAAAGGACCGGAGGGAATACATAGATACATACACAAGTGACGAAGGAATCGAATGTTAAATGAGTGAGATGGAAATTTAAGATGATTTGTCTTTGCCTTATATATGACACGGAGTGAAAGCCTATTTCGAAAGAACATAAATGATTTGTGTGGTTTGTTGGCCTCAGATGAACGATGGATGCCAGTGGAGGAAGTACGGGCAGAAGAAATCCAAGGGGAACCCATGCCCGCGCGCCTACTACCGCTGCACCGTCGCAACGGGGTGCCCCGTCAGAAAGCAGGTATGCTTTGCATGATCAACATCACAAAGTAAAATTCTTAACTAATGTTTGGTAATTGGTACTAGATCCAAAATAAGTGTCGCAGTTTTGAACTGTGTCTGCACACCAAACTTGACCAAGAACTATACATGTGTTGCTTTTAAACATCGCAATGCTACCTAACTATCACTGACGAATGGGAGCTTAATTACATGGCAGAAGTTGGCGCCTGCTAACGTATGCATTATATATACTTCGTATTAGAGCACTACCAAGTGGCACGATCAACCAAAGGATATTTTGCGTTAATTCACTGCAAGTTACTTTCAGATAGCCATATGACGGAGTAGCCTTTTGTTAGGTCTCACAATTGTGGTAGTTTTCGCCGACGCTTACGCAATTATAATAGTTTTCTGCTATTTACTTTCACCATGGTGACCAACTAATCATGCACGTACATTTTTCCCCAGGTGCAGAGATGTAAGGAGGACATATCGATCCTGATCACCACCTACGAGGGCGCGCACAACCACCACCTCTCCACCTCCGCCACCGCCATGGCATCCACCACTTCTGCCGCTGCGTCCATGCTCATGTCAGGCTCCTCCACCTCGCTCGGCTTCCCCTCTGGCGCCTCCAGCCTCCGCGACCTCAGGTTTGGCCTCCCAGCGGCAACCACCGTCGACCCCTCCAACCAGCTAACCAGCCGGCCGTTCTTCCTCCCAGTAGCCGGCGGCGCGTCCATCAGTGCCACCCCATCATACCCCACCATCACCCTTGACCTGACCTCGCAGGCCGCCTCGCAACACGCCTTCTCCCTCGGCAATAGTAACAGGTTCTCCTCCAACTTCACCGGCTCTCACGGCCACAGCAACAACACTAGTAGCTACCCTTCCACGAGCTTCTCCATCTCTAGCTTCGACATGAGTAGCCTACCCGGCGCCACCACGTGGCCATCAGGCGTTGGATCATACCTGGGCTACGAATCCTCGTCTGGCACGTCCTACAACGGCCCCAACAAGGGCGCATTCGAAGCTGCACTCAGCAGCATCCATGGAAGGCAACAAGGCTCAGCGGCATTGCTCTACCAGCCGCTGCATGTGCGACGGAGGGCGGCTGAGTTGGGCAGTGGTGGCACGGGCACGGCGGCACCGATCATGCTCACTGATACGATCGCCAAGGCGATTACGTCGAACCCGGGCTTCCACACGGCGCTTGCAGCTGCCATCACATCATACGTCGGCAAGCCGACAACAGGAGGCGAGAAAGGTCTCGAGTGGGGGGACCACCTCGGGCTCGGGCCGTCGAGTGCAGCGACTGCGGTGTGCTCGTCAGCGCTTCTGGCACAGTTGTCTTCAACTGTGGCTGCACAGAACGGTTCTCCAAATGGCAGGACGACGTTGGAGCCGTCGCTGGCACTGTCAAGCTCCACAAGTGCTACTGCTTCGATGTCTCGCGTATGAAGAGCATGGAGCACATCAATTGGTTAGATGAAGGTTATGGATGTTTGTGGATTAATTTGATCGTTTAGTGTAGATATATATTGACTGTAGCATAATTGCTGAAAATGTGTTGATTGGTTCATGACAGCCGAAACACACACCAAGATTTTGTGTTTGCGACAAGCTATTTGCATTTGCCTAGGAAAAAGTGGTGCAATGATCATACGAGACAAATTGAAACTCACATAAAAGAGTAACTAGGCCAGCCGATTACCCCGTCCCCCCATTATTGCTTGCAGGCCTCTGCCACTATCGACCCAGTCTCCTGTTGAATTAACACATAATTATGGTATGAAATACAGCGGAAACAAAAAATCTTAGGTTCTGTTCGATTCAACTTCCAAACATGAGCTCTGTTATGAAATGTCACAAGCTCATCAAATGGGAAATTTATACCATAGATTCTGGCATGACAGCGACTTTAGCATAGTGTATTTTCCACAGCCGCATGCAACCTCTCTACTCTAGTTACCACCACTGTGAGGGCATACATTTTGCGAAAAGTAACCACCTTCCTTTCATTTAGTCGTTGCTCAGCACAATTTCATCTAGTAATTCCAGGATCATTGCTCAGTACAGAAGAAAACATATGCAACAACATACATGGAGAAAATAGCTCTAGCAATACCCCACATGATCCTCAGACAATGGTTGGATCAAGAGAACCTCCAAACTGCAATAGTCATATCAGCACATTGACACCATATTTTAATG